CATTTGAAGGTGAAAAATAATTCCATAGGAAGTACAATGATCTTAATTAAATATTAGCTGTAATTAGCCTAAAGTGCAAATGTTGGGAATATTAATTAGGGTCTCTGTGGAGCGGCTGTCAATGTTAATAAGTAACTGTAGGGGGTCCCACCAACATCTGTCTGAGAGCTCCAGGTACAGGATGCATCCTAAAGCCCTGTGTACCTGGACACTGACTATGGGTTCCTTGGCCCACCATTGCCTTGGTCCTAAGAACTCAGTACCCTGTGTCTGCCAAAATGGCACAAGCCTTGGGAGAATTGGGTAGTTTGATCTGATCTTAGTGATGCCCTTAGTAGGCCCTGGCCATTACTAGGGCAGAATCTGAGGATTCTGATCCAGGCTTCACATTTGAGATGGTACACTGTTTTCCCAAGCCTCTGTCCCACGACTTGCCAAGGAGTCACTTTTCTCATCTGGCAAGCAGAATGGTTGGCACCTTTGCAGAAAATACCCCAGTGCCTGACTTTCCTACAGCAAGAGGTGAAAATAGATTTGGGGGTTAAGGTGTATGTGATGGAGAGAGGTTTGTTTATTCAAGAGTAGGAACCAACCTCCTCTCTTGTCAAATGAAGGTTGAAGATGGCTTTGGGTTCAGTTCCTGGCTTCCCAAAGAATGACCTGTAGCTTTGACCTTGAATGATTATCTCCCAGGTCTGGAGCAGTTTTGACTCCCGAGTTGAGTGGGATTAGAGTTGCCATTCAAGCAGAGCAGGGACTCAAGAAGTCAACACTATTAACACGTGGGGCCAACAGGTAATACTTTGTGGCCAGGGACTGTTCTCTGCATTGTAACACCCTACATTTAGCCACATCCCAGTCCTCCACCTGCTAGTTGCCAGGAGCACAGCCTTCCCCAGTTGTGACAACCAAAAATGTCTCCAGTCGTGGCCTTATGTCCCCTGGGAAGCAGCCATGCCTTTTAAAGAACTGATTCACAGTACACCATAGAGTGCCAGGCATCCACCAGTCCTGAGGTGAAAGATGGTGTCACCATCCTATCTTCTGAGGACTTTGAAGAGAAGGAGCTGAGAGGCCCAAGTCCATGGTAGACCCTCTCATAAGGGCCTTTCTAAGTTTGCAGCTTATGCTTTTACACATCAGGTATCTGGAGATAGAAAGAAAATTCCAAAAGAGACTCTGACTCACTCTTTGTACCATCCTCAACACTGCTGGCCTGCAGGGCCAGCTGAGATCAGCCCTTCTTGGGGCTTTCTGTGTCTTCCTGTTTCATTGCCAGCTTTCTGTCCTGCCCAAAGTATTTATGCAATGATGTCTCCTTTCAGTCATTGTCCCCCACATATAATGTTATTTGGTTTCAGTCACTAGGAAACTTTTCCTGCATGGACCCCGGGAGCTAATAGTTTAAGCTTTTTGGGTCATACAACCTCTCTCACAACTATTCAACTCTGCTGTTGTAGCACAAAAGCAGACACAGACAATATGTGAACAAATGAACATGGCTGTGTCACAATCAAACTTTATCTATTTTTTTTAAAAAGCAGAGGGTCAGATTTGGCACATCTGTCATATGCTAAGCCCCCTCCTACTCCTCCTACCCTATCTCCTCCTGCTGAATTGAACTCTATAGAGACCAGAGTTCATTTTTCAAGCAGATACTCTCTTAGCAAATGTTCATAAATGTCACTTTGCAGCAAGCATGCTGCAGGGGGCTGGGGATGGGACAGTGAACATGGCACAGCCTCCTCTCATGTCTTCACGGAGCTTGCAAGAAATAAGCAAGCAATGGCAATGCTTGGAGTTATGTGAGGTGTGGCCAGAGGCTACAGTGGGGCAAAGAGCACAGGCAACTCATCTGGGTGTTAGAGAAGCTTGCAAGAGGAGGGACTCTTGATCTAGACCTGGAAAAGAAGAAGGGGTTTGTCAGGAAAGGGTAGGAGAGCTTTCTAAGCCGAGGGGGCAGTGAATGTGAAGACTTGATGGTGTGGGCAGGGTGGCTGGCTTCTCATGTGCCTGACCTCAGGCTTCAGAAGGACAGGACCTCCTTCTTTCCAATAGAGCACTCAGATGCTACCAGGGGACCATGGCAGTGTTGCATGAACATTTGGGACTGTTTTATTCTTCCCAAGATTTCTCTGTAGTGACAAAAGGCTTCTGGTCATATGCGTTCCTGGTGAAAGTTGTTTTCTGTGGAGGAGAAGGAGGGACTCTGTAGCCTTCAAGTGACTGTTGTCTCTATCAGGCTATGTACTCATTCTGTGTTCTCCTATGCAGCCACACCTATGCCACAACTATGCAGTTGTCGCAAGTCTGTCTCTCAGTTCAAAGATGCACCAGGTAGAAGGTCATGGAGGTTGGAAACACACACCTGGACAGAAACCTATTCTTGCACCATGAATTTCCTTTTAGAAGGATCTCAATATTCCAGTGTTTAGGGGACTTTTGTCAGCTATAAAGAGGTAGGGTTGCCATGAGATTTCTGTACACAAGGCTATATTCCTTCAGTAGCCTTAGAAAAGAAAAGGATTCTAGTTTAATAATGAAACAGCAGAGGATTTTTAATTAGTCAAGATCCTTTGGGTTAAAGGAGCAGAAAAACTATGGCAAAGAATACAATGTTTTAGTTATGCAAGATGAATAACTTTTTGCTGGAGAGCAAATACACAGCCTGGGGGTAATAGTGTAAAATACTGTATTTTATGGTTGAAAGGTACTAAAAGGATATATCTTAAATTAAATCTCACCACACATGAGCACTCATGCACACATGCAAATCGGTAACTATGTAGAGGTGATAGGTGAATTAATTAGCTGGGATGTAATATTTGCACAATGTACACATATATCAAAACATCACATTATACATCATATATATATATATATATATATATATATATATATATATATATGGCTTCTTGTAAACGGTATCTCAGTAAAGCTCCTGAAGAATTGGATACTTACTTATCTATGTAACCAAAACAAATAGGTGTGTTACTAACTGGATTGAAGCATCCCATGGTATGATAGGGACGGGAACACCTCTCTGTTCCTCAGGTCTTTGGCCCATTTACCTGAGGGTTACCTCACCTGCAGGTAGGTCTTCTTCTAGCAGTTCTTTGCAGCTCCAGATTTACTTTACTTCTGCAGCTGACAATCATAGTAGGAAGAAAATTTATTTCCAAAATTTGTAGCACAATTCCCAGGGTGGCAAGGACACATTGGTGTGACCAGAGCGTATAATCCTAATGGACTCGTGAAATAGATGACCATGAACCCAAATCCCTGTGACTACAGGGAGAGGAACCTTCTGATTGTCAGGATGGTGTGACGTGACCATATGTAGCAATGAACAGGGCCTGGATGCAGCCAACTCTGTACCATGTGGACTGAGTGGGAATGACACTGGGGTGCTGTCCATGAAGAACTAAGAGTGTAGACTGAACAGCAGTGGCAAGAAATGTCCACCGTGTTTTCCAAAGGAGAGATGGGGTCACTGCACAAGTGTAGCTACAGAATCTTGATGCAGGCTGATCCTCCACGGCCTACATTGCTGCCAGAAGTTGTTAGAAAGAAAGGAAGAGGTGTGCGCCTTTGTGCTCAATGTCACAGATATTTGGACAACTTAGTCTGGAGAGGCAGGAGACTGTAGAAGACTTTAAACTTATCCTAAGCTCCTTGGCTTCCAAATACCATCTTTAATTTTCTAATGAAGGGTCATCTGTAGACAATTGTGCAAGCTCTGTGTGCTCGTCTGACCTCCCTCCCCCATCATCATTTTGCATTCCTTACTTTAGCAGAATCAGCTCAGGAGCTTTGGTGGCAGGTACTGAGATGGGAGCCACCCTGACATTTTTGCCCTGGAATCATTACAAGAGGGCTAAAGTAGCATCTAATTGACCGCAGACACTGTGAGAGACCGCTATTTGGTGTGCTTAATTGCTAAGCTTTTTTTCTTTCTCTCTTTTTTATTCTTTTGACTATTCTTTATGTGTCTCTTGAGACCATGGAAAATTTAGACCTCTAGGCTACTATTTCTTATGCCTTGTGCAAGTGTGTGTGTGTGTGTGTGTGTGTGTGTGTGTGAGAGAGAGAGAGAGAGAGAGAGAGAGAGAGAGAGAGAGAGAGAGAGAGAGAAGATTTTAGAGTTATGGGGGTGGAGGTGGAGGGAGAGAGAAGTTTCCTGAAATGGAAACATTTGAATTCAGGGTGTTTTTTTTTTTTTTTTAATTCTTTTGACTTGACTGTAATTATCATACTGCATGTTTAGGCTGTAACTGAAGGGTGAATTGTTATATAATATCCTCTGCTTATTTTTTTAAAAATAAGAGATATGGGGGGAGAGGTGTTGACTAAAGAGAGTAAGAGTTAAGTGCAGCACTTAGCATAAAAGCTGAACAGGGGAACAGCTGTGTAAATTATTTCCTGAATTTTCACTGCCTAGGACCTGTTAGCACGCAAACACCCTACACACGCGCGCGTGCACACACACGCAGGTACACACACACAAGCAGGGAGGCCATTACAAGGACCCTCCCCCATCCCATTATGGGAGCCAAGTCACATAAAACTTTGATTAAATTCAAATGCTTAGATGAATTGTCTCTCCACTCAAGACCACACTCCTTCAATTTAATCTCCCTTGGCACTTTTAAGTATCAAATCACAGCTCCGCTATCACTGTGGACAACACCAGGCTCCCACTTTCCAAAATGGGAATGAAATAGGGAGGAACTGCCAGAAAAATCCAATCCAGCAGTACACAGAACTTCACCACCTTGATGACTTAGGGAAAGTGACTTTGTTGTTCGGTGCCTTGGTTTCTGCATCTGTAAAATGGGGGTTCGGGGGGATGGTATCCTGGTGAGGTTGGAGGGGCTGGTATGGAAAGTGTTCAGGAATGGAGCTGCTGGGCTCCTGTGTAAGGTTCAGTTTGGAGCTCGCTCATGGTTTTCCCTCCCTTCCTCTCTCTCTCTCTCCCTGCTTCCCTTTTCATTTTCTAGGGTAATCAGGAAGCGGCAGCTGCCCCGGACACGATGGCTCAGCCTTATGCTTCAGCCCAGTTTGCTCCGCCTCAGAATGGCATCCCCGCGGAATACACGGCCCCTCATCCCCACCCCGCGCCAGAGTACACGGGCCAGACCACCGTCCCCGAGCACACGTTAAACCTGTACCCTCCCGCCCAGTCGCACTCTGAGCAGAGCGCCGCGGACACGAGCGCGCAGACTGTCTCCGGCACCGCCACAGTAAGTGAGCGCTGCGCTCTGGGGGGCCGCCAGGCAGGTGCCCAGGCCCTGCCAATGGCAGCACAGGTGCACCCCGTGTACCAGAGACTCTGGGGAGGAATATAGGCATCCTTTCCTGTTCTTTAAGTCAACTCATCTTTCACTGGCTACATTTATTGATAAAAGGAGACACTCACCTGTCCCATTCCTATGGAATATTTTTAAATGGTCTTACAGATATGTAATTACATACCACAAAATTCACCTTAGATGTACAATTCATGATTTTTTTAAAGAACATTTGCAGTTGTGCAACCATTGCTCAAACCTGACCTTGGAACATTTCTACCATCCTAGGAAAATACCTTGTGCTCATTTTCATCCAGCCTTCTGAGTCTCAGCTGAATACACCGGGGACCCACCCATGTTGTGTGTTGTTTCTCTTGTTTCTGGATTTTCCTTGCTGGGCCATAAGGAAGTGAGAGGGCATGTATTGCAAGAGTATTTTCTTGTATGAGATAGTTTTGGTGGGCAAGAGAACTATTCTGTTTCTTAATGTCGTTGAATACAGCAAAAAGAGTGTAATCCAGTGAATTAAAAATAAGCAAACAGAAAACAAAAGAATTATTTTATCAGTACCATAAATGAAAATCAGTATCATGGCTAGGAATCAAAGATAACTGTAATATACTAAAAGTAGGTATATTAAAATTAAAGTGTTTGCTTGTTCTACCTACCATACTCATGTAATACCGTAACACAGGTAGGCCCACACTTAGGAAAGCTTGTTCTTATAGATTTCCTCACCCCAAGCCTCTTAGAGCTACAAGCAAGTCTGGCCTTTCTTTCTCTCTTCAAGCCACCAGAAAGCCAGAATTTTGATGAAAGTTGTAGGTTGGTTGCATGGTACGTTTTCTGCAATACAAGGAATCACTAGGCAACTTTGCTGCTTGGCACTTGGTCCATTCAGGGCGAGCTTTGGAGATATTAACAGATAGTACTGATTCTGAGATTTTTGTCCTGCCTTCATTTTAAGAGGTCTTTTAATGTCCACAATTCGGTAGCATTTAGTATTCTCACCATGTAGTTCAACCTTCACCCCATCAAGTTCAGGATATTTTTATCACCCCAAAAGGAAAACCCATCCCTATTAAGTAGATGTTCCTCATTCCTCCCTCCTCTCCCTCTAGCTGGTGACAAGTACTGATCTGCTTTGTAACTACATGGATTTGCTTCTTCTAGATACTTCATAAAATTGAAGTCTTACGGTGTATAGCCTTTCATGTCAACCTGGTTTCACTTAGCACAATGTTGTTAAGATTTGTCCATGGTGATATTCTACTGTGTGGCTGCACCTTGTCCATTTTGGATATCCATTCGTCTCTTGATGGACATTTGGGTTGCTTCTGCCTTTGAGTATTGGGAATGCTGGTGTCATTGCCTTTTTGTGTTTGGTTGCTGTGCCTTAGGCATAGGTTTATTAAACACAGGCATTTGTTAGGTGTCATATTGACAACCAGGTGGTAGTTATGGGTAGTTATTTATTGTTTGTTTGGGTTTTTTTGTGGCAATCAGTGGTAGTAGGGCTGGATAGGTTGCTTTTGAACTAAAAACAAGGTCCAATTGGATGTTCTTTGTTAAGTTAACTGCTGTGAAAGAGCAATTGATTCTTTCATTCACTAATCTTTGTTAAACATCCAGTAGGGCCAAGGACTCATAGTAGGTGATGAGGCTGAACCAAATTGGCATGGTCTTTCCCTATTAGCACTTAGTATAAGAGGTAGAAAGTGAGCAGATGGCAATGTGCTCTTTAGCCATGTAGATCTATAGTCACAAATCAAGTTGCATACCCTCAAAGAAAAGATGGGTGCTATGGGAAGGTAAGAAAGAACAAGGGTGCTATCTGCAAATGGGGAGTCTCAGAATACTTCTGTAACGAGATGATGTTTTTAGTAAGAAGACAAACTCTTCAGGCAGAAGGAATACTGAGGCCAAAATGTCCTGAAGTCAAGAAGAGCTTGTCTCATTCAAAATACTAACATGAAACCATTGTGTTCAAGGCTTCCCGGGTGAAGAAGGTTTGGGAGCACAATGGCAAAAAATAAATTAGGGGAGGCAGCAGCGATCACATATCCTGCTAGCCTGGTTGGCCTTATATATAACAGAATACCCTGTTGTGAGCAATGGAAACTATTGGAACAATTAAGTCAGAGAATTACAAAATGAGACCTAAAAATAAAGGGTTAATGATGCATAGCTGGAGGGGAAAATCTCCAGGTAGTTTGGAAGTATGGATGCTCAACATCCTGCTTTGCTGTAACCACACATTGGAGATAAACACCAGTGAATTGTAATAGCACATTGACGTCCACCTTGCCCGAGGAGCTGAAGCAAGATAAAACAATGTGCAGATAAGCTGTCTTCCCTTGGAGACTTTTGTTGTGCTCAAGAATATAGGCTATGTGTTCTGTTCATGAGGAGTGCTGAGTTCTAGCATGTGTGTTTCCAAGGCATTTAGATATTATGAGAATAGAATAAAACACTTTCTGAGGGATCTACTTCAAAATCCTGGTTGGAGGGGTGTGCATTTCAGAGTCTTCCAGTTGAGGGTAACAGAAAACACAGCAGGAAATGGACAGGCTCATATAGCACAAAGTCCAGAAGAAGGATTGAGAGGACAGGGCTTGGCTGTTGACCCACATCTGTCAGGTCCCAACAGGACCCATTGTTACCAGAAAACCAGTGCGCTGGCCTCATTGCTAGTTCACAATTTACAAATAACAAGAGCAGGGTTTTGAGGAAAAGGAAATAAGGTTTATTATTTGTCAGACAAAGAAGAGCACAGGGAGAGTCAACCTCTCAATGTACCATCATTACACTTCTGAGAGAAAATGTCTGCCTTTAAAGGGGAGTTCAGGGGCTCAGCTTGACTGCGTGACCAGGTGCATGTCCACCACAATCACTGGCCTTGGTTCTCCAGGTGTCCAGACACTTCTCTGAAGCTGTATGTTTACTGTCAGGTTTACTGCTCTCTGGTTAGGAAGACATAATGGGTAGAAGACTGCCAGGTCTAACTGAAGACCAGCATGTAGACAAAGAGGGAAAGAATGTCAGCTTAATGAACAAGCAGAATAAACTGTCCAGCAGACTAGCTGTCTATACAAAGTGGTTTTTTTTCTTCCTTTTGTAGTCCTGATTACATGTTCCCCACTATCAATTTATTCCTTCCATCTATGGGAAAGAAACTTTGCAAGCATCTAACTGCATCCTGGCTTTAGTTAATTCCTGGGCCCAAGTAAAGAGTCAGTGAGCCTCAGCAAAAGCAGTTTTTAAGCCGCGTTACACCATCTCTGACTTTTCTTCCTCCTGACTGAGTCAGTCCCTGACAGTCAGGCTCTTACCATCACATAGTCAGTAGTACAGTAAATGACCCTTGGATCAATGCCAAGCCCTGGGACTCACTCTTCCCCTGGCCTGTGGGTGTTACATCCATTCAGTGGGCAAGGCTGAGATTGAGTGGATCAGCCCTGGTCCACCATAAAGCTGATCCATGGCACAGACACAGGAGGAGGATCCTTGTACCAGAGCTTCAGAACAGTTCTGAAAAGGCACTGATTGCAGAAACATTGCTCAGAGGTCATGGTGGAATAGTGAACTGTATGTATGCAGAGGGTTGCTAATAAAAAGAAAGGGCAAGATAGAATACTGGAGGAAGAGGAGCTACTGCTGAATGACACATAAATGAGGCATCAGATTGAGAGTTGAAAGACTGTGGACATGGAGTACTGGGACTTTACTGAATCTGGCAATGTGGATATCACTGAAGACCCAGGAAGATGAAGTTGTGCTACAGTGATAGAGACAGATGCCAGGGGTCCAGCAGTGAGGAATGATTGGGATGTATCAGAGCAGGAGTGCATTGCCATCACAAACAACTGGAGTGAAGAAGTAAAAGAAAATACAGTGACTGAGGAAGAAGTGAGGGTTTGTAGGCTTTGGTTGATTTGGGTTCTCTGATTTATGCCAAGGGGAAGATCCATGTAGGAGGCACAGAGGGGATAGGAAATGAGACATAAGGAACATTGAGGCAGGAAAGAAAGAGACAGTGTTTTAGAGAGAGTAAGAAGGACTAGGGACAAGGGTATTCCAACAGATGAGGTAGAACAGGAGAGAAGAAATACTTAACTTTTTACAGTTGAGTGACATAATAACCTGTGTATGTTTAAAGTATATAATTTGATAAATTGTCACATGTGTACACACACCTGGAAATATTACCCATTGATGCAGTAAAAATATCCATCACTTTCAGTTTCCACGTGCCCCTTTTCCATCTTCTTATCCCCACCTTCTCTGCCTCATTCCAAGGCAGCCAGCTGACCTCCTTTTGTTATAAGCTTATTATTATTTTTAGATTCATCCATATTGTTGCATGACTCAGTAACTTACTCCTTTTTATTGCTCAGTATTATTCCATTATATAATATACTACAGTTTGTTTCTCCATCTGACTTGGGTGTTTGGGTTGTTTTCTATGTTGGGTAATTAAAAACAAAGCTGCTATGAATATTCGGAAGCACTTCGATTTTGAAACAGAAGAGAAGCAAGAGTAAATGTGTGGTGGTAGAGAATGTGTTAACATGAGACCTGCAATCTGTGTTACCTTCATTCTGTCACTCAAGAAGGGATCACGGCATGAGAAAAGGATTTGGAAACAAGGAAAAAGTTCCTGAATTTGAGCCAAGCATCTTCCTGGGATAATTCCTGGAGGATTATGAGTAGCAAGGAGTTTGGAGAGTGTGAATGTGGGGTGGGGCTGGTCAGCCTGTTACTTTATCTTTTCTAGCCACATTTATGGGGTGTCCACTGTTGGGGTAGGTGTTAAAAGAGATGCAACATTAAAGACTGAAGCAGGTAGGCTTTGTGTCTAGTCTGAAGGTGGGATTATATTATTAGCTGGTTTGAGGGAAGTTTAAGAATCATAAAAGGGAATATGTTGTTTTGTTAGAAATGATTACATA